TAAAAAGAAAAAAAGAAAAAAAATCTATCATTGATTCAGTATGAAACAATACTTGTAGATTTTGGGTTTGTTACCTTTTTTTTTAAAGGCTGATTTTTTTTTGTGTTACGAGGCCACTTCTCATGCATATTGGCATTTTTTTTCCTTCTTCTTTCAGAGATTTGTAAATACACAATGGCAGGAAATTTAATGCACAAAAAAAAGGGAAAAGAAACTTTAAAAAAAAAAAACACGAATAAATAGATAAAAAAAAAATCTGTTCTAGTTTTCAGGCGGGGAAGCGTGGCCGAAATGCACCCCCCCTCCTGCGTATCGCTGATGCAACTTCCTGTAACAAGCACTTTGTATAAAAAAAAAAAGTGGACTTCCTGCTATAAGGCACAGGTATTTATTCTGTAACCGATTTTAGAACACACACACAAAAAAAAAAATATTCAAATAAATGTGATCACTTAGTGCAAACGCCTCGCTCTGCTGCAGCTCTTCCCCTGGGAACGCCGGCTCTGGCGGGAGGCTCCCACCACTTTTCGGAAGTCGCCGCTCCCCGCGTCCCGTGGGTGCGTGGCCGGCGGAGGGGATTTTTCCATCAGGGCTGTTTCGGAGGGAGCAGCTCGGGGATGGGGTGGCGGTGGGTCCCAGCTGGGGAGGGGGTCCCCACCAGCGTCCCAGCCCCGCGGGGTGGGATGATGGAGCCGTGGCTCTCCGCCGGGATGGGGTCGGGGACGGGGACGGCGACTTTCCTGCCTCCGCTGGCATCCACCGTGCCGGCCACGCTGCAGCCCCAGCACCCGGTCCTCGAGGCTGCGTCCCCACCTAAAGCCCTGCTGCCCCGTGGGGCTCTGTGGGTGCTGGCAGCGCCCCGGGCTGGTTCGGGGACGCTCCGTGCTCAGCCGAGCCCAGGAAGGGGGAAGAGGAAACCTTCGGCCGTGGCAAGCGGCGGGACCATGGGCTGGCCTGACTGCGGCTGTGCGGGGACGAGCTCTTCATCGGGGGGAAAACGGGGCCGACTTCATAAAACGGAGCAGCGTCTTAGATGCATTCGGGTTTTTCCATCGAGCTTGGCTTCCTTAATTTTTTTTTGTGGTTGCAAAACATCCCTAGTTTCGTTTCGGCTTGGATTCTCCTCCTTGTGCTGCTTCAGTGGGAAACGAAAAGGGGAGCGAGGGTGAAGCCAGGGGAGCAGAGGGTCTGAGGGAAGGGGACCCTCTCACCCAGCTCCCCCCATTCCACCCCGAGGGAGGCGGCAGCAAATCCCTTACGATTGGGGTTCCCTTTCCATATGGTGCTGGGGGGAGGGACCCAGCACTCCCTGCCCCGAGTGCTCCCGGCCCCCCTCCAGGTCGGTGCCACCCCGTGCACGGGGTGCTGAGGCTGGAGCTCGGCCCCACTGCCCTGTTGGGCTCTTCCCAGCCCTGTTCTCCTCAGAGGCTTCAGGAAACACCCAAACCGATGGGCTATTTGGGGGTTTGCTTCTGGGTCACAAGCAAAGCGCCCCAGGGCTGCAGGAGGGAGAGGGACGCTCCCAGCCTGTGCCGCGGGGACCCCACGACGCCTCCCCCGGTGCCCATGGGAAAAGCCCCGGCAGTGATGGGGACACTGAGGCAGGGGCGAGAAGAGTGATGTCCCTCCCCGTGGAAGGGAGCCCAGGGTCCTCCCCACCCCAGGGTGCCCCTGGCCATGGCCCCTGTGCTCGGTGTCTCCATGTTTGCCCTCACAGCTGTCTTCATCATTGTCTTCCTCCTCTTCCTCCTCGGCACAGCTCCCTCCTCCCTCCGGACCGGGCAGCTGCCGGCCCTGGGCAGGCATTAAAGCACCTGTCGCCTATAGACGGGGGGATGCACACTCAACCCCCACCCCGCAGGGTGACCCCCAGGGGTTGGGACGTGTCCCCACTGCGGCCACCCTCGCCCTGCGCCTTCGCTGGAGGGAGCTGCCCCAAAACAGCGGAGCCCCGGTGCTGCAGCCCCTCCAGCTGGGCAGAGGACCCCACTGTCCCAGCACTCTCAAACCCTGCGTGCTGTGGGTGGCGGGGAGGGAAGCGATGGTCTCCCCCCCTCGGTGTCACCCCCTGAGCAGCAGGAGGAATGGGTGTCCTTGGCCCGGTTGGGGTAATGGTGTCCCAGGCTGCCGGGAGGGGAAGCGCCAGTGCTGGGGCGCTCGGTGGGGTTGTGTTGATGGATGGCTCTGTCCGGGGGGTGGGAAAAGCAGGGGGGAGCAGAGGCACATCCATAAACAGCTCGAGTTGTGAATGGAAAGAGACGGATTAGGAGCCGGGTGAAAACATGTCACACGGCGGAAAGAAAAATGAGCAGCTGGGCCAGACCAAATTGGTGTCTGATGAAGGACGTGGGGCCTGGTGGAAAAAGGATCCCGGGGCCGGCGGTGCCGCTCGGGGGAGGCTGATGGGGAACAGCTGGAGCCGGACACGCACATCTGGCAGAGCTGGGCGAGGGGAGAGGTGCCAATAACCACCGCGACTTTGGCCACTGCGCTCGGGTCACACCGGATCGGCACCTCCAGAGGGGCTGGTGCTTCATTGTCAGGTTGGTGCTGGGGAGGGGGTGGCAGCACCGTGGCCCATCCCTCGGCAGGGATTTACTTGGTGGGGTTCAGGCTCTGCCGTGCCAAGGGGTCCCCAGGTGGAGGAGCCGCTGCCTTTTCCTCCATTTGCATACATGTAAATAAGCAATCAACATAATGAGGGCGAATGCAAACCAGGCTTTCAGTTTGCAAACAAATCCTATTTTTAACCTTGGAAAAGGGTTTCA